GAGCCCCACTCCAGACTGGCTGATGCACTTCCAAACGATTGGGAGAAGGGAGGGATGGATCCAAATGGTTTCTAACAGACGTGTTTTGTTTCCTGTCCCTCAGCAGCCAAACCTCCCTGCTGGAGAATGGTTTATTTGTGGTTCTGTGGGCTGCCCACCAGCCCCACACCCAGCCTGTCCCAGGAGGAGAGAGCTGCCCTGGAGCAGAGCCTCACCAGCATCGAGGAAAAGCCGCTGTGGAGGAATGTGTGCAATGCCAATGCCATTGTCCTGATGACCGTCAACGTCTTCCTGTGGGCTTATTTTGGCTGAGGTGGGCTYAGGAATTGGCTTTGGTTGCTCTCACCTTCCTGACAGAGCCCCTGGTGATGTCCCTGAGTGCTGGCACAGGAAGATTTCTATCAGGCTCACGATTCCCCTGCTTATCCCCAGCTTGGGTGGAGCAGGGTCTGTGCTGGCCTCATGCAGGTGAATTAAAGCATTTGCTAAGAGGAAAAAGTGGATTTCCTTTGAACACGGGAGATCTCAGCCCCATGGGCTGCCCATCCATCCCCACGGGAAGAGGCACACAACACAGAACTTCTCTTTCCTTTCCACTGTTCCTTTTCAAGCAGGGGCTGCCCAGATCAGAGGGTGCCTCAAAACATTTGGAGAAAATCAAGTTAATTGATTAATTGCTGGCAAATGTCTAATAATAACAGGTACATTTTTAGTGCATTTAGAAATACCAGGGCTCTCACCTCATCACCCTGAGCCAGAGAGACCCTCAGCAGCTCTCAGCTTGATGGTTTTGTTGGCTTTTTTGGACCATTCATCAACTTTATCCACGGGAAAAGCAACACAGAGTGGGATGAGGAAAACTGGACAATTTTTTAAACGTTTGAGATTATTTTTTCCCCCTTAGAATAATTCAGTTTTACAGAGAGTAGAAYTGAATTTTACYAAGCCTTTTTTTTTTTTAATGACAYAAATATTTCAGATCTTTGGTTATGGGATGCTGTGTTCTTCCCCTCCCCATCTCACACCATGGACTCTTGAGGATGATGTTTCTTTTAAAGAGATGATGTTGATRTTGGTGAAACAAAATAATGCACTTTGAGAGCTGTGATTGCATCTCAGAGCGTGGCCCTGAGGAGGAATGGGGACACCCACACTGCCAGATGCAGCCAGCTATGCTCTCCCCAGGAGTAGCACATTTTATTGATAAACTTATTTGACTTCGCTGCTCTGCTTTGAACTGCTCAAGTGAAACAAAAAAAGAAAAGAATGATTGGGGAGGAGGAGTCTGAGCRGTTTTATTGAAGTAAAGCAAAGTCGTCTCAAAGCATCTTGCCCTTTGCTTGTGTTTTGTAGGAAAACAATGTGATTAGATGGAAAAAAAAATAAAACCAAACAAATCAAAAAATAAAAGCCCAGCTGAACAGGAGCACAGCCTGGCTGTGGCAGCATGGGATGAGTTGTGGTGTCCTAACAAGAACACATCACTCTCAGGCTGTAACCRATATCCAAGTGCATTGGCAGCAGATGTTATTAATGATGCCAATACATATTTTCTTATTAATCTTCCATACTAGGCTTGTGTCTATCTGCAAATGATTATCATTCATTTTCCTGACAAATCTATCAAGATCATTTATTACTGTTYGGCAAAGGATCTTCTTTTAAACAAAGATTAATAACATTGCATTTTATCTGGCTGGCTGAGCCAAAGGAAATGAAATTAACAATGAGCCCTACAAACATGTCATCACTTTAATTTACCGGAAAATATTTTAAAATGTTATTTAAAAGAATATACGCTGTGGTGGGCACAGTTTATTACAAAGGGAAGGAATCAAACCACAGGCATTTTAGCAGGGAGGAAAGTAAGCAGACAGGGAAATGTGTTTTCTCTGGTTCCTCGCACTGCAGTTCTGGGACAAGGAAGGAAAGGCACCCACAGGTTTTTTTGGCACGCACAGGTGGGCTCCTGCCCAGGGGAATTGTAGCTGCAGGTCCCTGTTTCTCTGTTAAAGTGGATCCTAACCAGGATTCATTCCTGCAGGGAGCACTGCTGTCCCTGTGTTCATACAGAAGGGAGCACCAGGGTAAAGCTCGTGGGGCTCTCAGGGAGAGGACGGCACATGTGGGCCAAGTGCCAGCAGCCTTCTGTATTTTTGGTCCCCAGGAGGAAAAGAAATAAACTCACAAAATTGACATGGTTTAGTGTCCTTTCTTCTACACTCTCTTCCAACTTCCCCTTCCCCTCATTTGAGTAAAGTAACAAAATAAAAATAGTAACAGTAACAACAATAATTAAAAAATACACAAAATTAGAATCCACTTCCTAATTGTGGTATGGGTCTAAGATTCTTCAAGGGGARCAAGGACACCTRTGGAGAYCCAGTGGCTCTKTAATTCCTGCCTTGGGATCCCATAYCACACYYTGATGCCTTTGTCTGGAAGGCAGTTCCACCCCGTGTGTGTGCCCATGTCCATCCAGCACACGGGGGTGACTGCAGATGTTCCACCTGCCCCAGGCTGGCACCAGCACWGCCCAAGATCTCAGCAGCCAGAGCTGAAATTCCAGGCGGTGCAGGATCACAGAGACGCCGTCCAAGCAGGGCCAGATGGCACCACCATGCCAAGGACAACAAACAGTTATTAAGTTGTCAGGCCCTGAAGCAAAATCAGCCTGAGCTGCCGAGTCGGTGCCATTTCTGATTCCCAGGAACAAGCTGTCCCCMAAGATGCTGCAGAAAGGCTCCTGGAAAGGGCACTTGAAGAGCTCTCTGTGAGACACGGGGTGTCCCCCGAGGAGTCCCTGTGCCACAGGAGCAGGGTGGAGCAGAGCACAGAGTGTGCAAAAAAGGAGCATTTGCACGTTCAACATCCAGTTCCTGCTCTGGGTCTCTCTGCAGGACTCCGATGGGGCTGGTGGTGCTCAGGATCATTGGGAATGGTTCCTCTGCCGCTCTCTGGTTCAGACTAATCCACCAAGCTTCAATKCTTTATTTCTGTGGGAAACACCAGGGTAATCATTATAAGAACCCCATAATMATTGCTGCTTGTGTTCTGAACAGAAATGCTGTTCTGTGACTGGCTCCCATGGCTTCCACAAAAGCAGCATCCAGTTTAATATGTGAGACTCATAACCAGCTCACACAGTGCAATAGTTCACTTCAGTTTGAAGGAAAAAAAATATTCTGCTGGAAGCACAGCGAGTAGCAGTGTCAATTTTTCATTAACCTACAGCCACTGTCTCTGTGGACTTAGAGCTATAAGTAAGATTACTGTTATAATTTTTTCTGGTCCCTAAGGGAAGGGAAAAAAACCTCCTCAAAACTTTTAAGGTCATTAAAAATCCACCTTTAAATTGGAGGTASTTTCAGTTTACTTTCATATTTCAAAATCAAATCTTAGCTGCAGCCTCACATCAAAGCAGAAATGTCAGTCTCTTTGTTTCTACTTCTGTGAAAGAAGTTCCAGCTTATACATGAGTTGAATGCCAAGTAAATAGATTTTCCTGGGGAACAAAGGCAGCTTTCTTTTGTTTGTTTTAAACATATGTAAATAGAGTCCCAGGGGCTGAGCTGCCTGTCAATTCCACCAGGTTCACACTGGTGTCACTCCAGCTGGTGATTTCTGACCGACCTTAGGTCAGGACTGCCGAAGTTTCCCTCCCCACTCATCCACAGCCACATCAAGCAGTTGCTCGTGCCCTTCCCCTCCAGCTTCACACCTCAGCAAAGGGGAAGCAGACTAATATGGATTCCTTTCTTCCCAGTTTCTTATTCTTTGGGGTTTGGTTCAATCCAATCACAGAAACACTTTGGTCCCCCATCAAAGCCACTGTGGTGGTCCTGAAATCTGTGAGCAGAGCAGAGCAGAGCAGTGCTGGAATCCCTGGATTCCAGCAGTGATCAGCTGGGGCTGTGCCCACACACCAGCCTTGGATTACAGACTGATGGCATCCCTGGTTCATGGTCAAGGTTATGGGGGCTGGGAAGAAGCAAGAATGGATTGGCAAGAAAAATGACCTTTCTTGTTGTTTTGTTTTGTAGCAGGGGCACACCATCAGTCTTGAACTTCATTTTCAGTACAAAGCATTGAAGGAGTGGAGAATTTTCCTCCACAAGGAACAGATCCCTCCACCTGCTCCCACTCCAGYAGGTTCAGAGCTTGGTGCAAACAGCCAAGGGCAGGGTTTGATCCCCGTACAGGCCATGCACGTCGATGGTTCTTGTGGGTCCCTTCCAGCTCAGAATATTCTGTGCAATCCACTTATAATTTTTTTTTTTTATAATTTAAACCACCAGATCAATGCAAAATCGAGCACTTCATGGTTGTCATTTCCCAATGACTTGGGTTATATCTCAATCTTCAGCCCTTGTTGTGGGTGTCAGACTGGGTAGCACCGAGGGATGCATCAATTTATAGGCTCTGCACAAGCCGCAATTAAGGAAAATCCTCAAATACATGAGAAACCTCAATTTTGATTGGCCATGTTCCCATAACTTATTGATAATTCAACTCACTCGAGTATTATTCAGTGTTTTCCTTCTCCCTGCTTTTTTTAATCTCTTGACAAGTTTACAAAGAGAAGAATGGAGCTGAGCTGAGCTGCATTCCATCCAATCTGCTGCCTCCACAAACGGCAGAGAAGCTAAATGAAGCCCAGAACATATGGCACTGTGCTGACAGAGCTCCCAAACTGGTTCTGCATGAGCAACAAGGAACATCTTGAAACGCACAAGACATATGTGTTTTAGGAAGAAGATTGAAGTGTTTCATAATAAAACAGGACAAAGTGAAATACAAGTGCTGTATAAAATTTTAATTAAAAACCGGTTTTACCCCTTGACGTGAATATACAATATGTTTCCCAGATGGATTTCATATTTAAGTATTATCCAAACCAGAAACATAAATGAGACAAATAAAGCCTTCAAAAATGGCACAGAGGCTAAAATGTRTGTAAACACTGGATGACTGTGGTGAAAACAAGGCAGGCAGAGAAAGCAACCKCTTAACAAGTGTTTACTACCGGAATACTGAATGAAACAGTTCCTACAACTACAGTCAGTGTAACAATACAAAAACCAGCATTAGAATTCACCACSGCTCAGTGATGTAAATGGTGCTTTTGTTACTCAGGAGTTTCACAGGTTATTTCCTACACTGATAATTCATGGTATAGAAATGCATAATTCATGGCCTGCCAGGCATCAAACGCCCTGAACGTCTGCCCTGCTCCCAGCCTCCCACCCCGCTCTGTGTGAAGCTCTGTTCAGTCTGTGCCATCATCTCCACAGGGTTATGCAAAGGCCTGG